GTCTCCTTCCCTGACTGCCACCCTTGCCCTCTCAATCCTGACCCCCGCCCCAGGCTATCCTCCCAGGGACTTAGGGCTGTTTCTGGAAACTGGGTCTGCCCAGGACCCACGACAGGCCCCTGGTGAGCCTCTTCCCAGAAGCTGCAACCAGTCACTCCCAAAGAGGGAGCCAGCCTCACCCCGAGCCCCTGTGGCTTCCACAGGAGAGAGGCGGGGGGCCCCACTTCTGTACTTGCAGAAGGACGGCCACCCGCTGGAGGGACACGTGGGCACTAAAGCTGTCTGGGGTAGAGGACAAGAAGACCCCAGGGTAAAACCACTGAGGAGAAAAAGGGTGATGCGGAGGTGAGGGCCACCCTTGGGGCTACTGCGCCGCCGCACACCGGGCCAAGTGTCCAGACCGCCCCGGTCACCATCTGCACTCACCGGTAGATATACACGTATTTCTCCTTGTACGTGCCACGCCCCAGCAGGTGGCTGCTCAGGAAGCTGTAGGGCCCAGAGTCATCAAATCTGCCAGGAAAGGGGAACCTCGGGTCAGTGGCCCTGAGGCTCTGTGGGGCCCCCAGTTTAGACCCACAGAGCCCTCCTCACCGATTGAGTTCTCGAAGCAGGAGTGGGATGGCACTGCCAGTAGAGTCCACCACCTCCTGCAGCACTGTGATGTCACAGCGAGCCAGGATCTGCAGGACACCAGGAAGGCCAGCCCCACTCAGTGCCAGCCACCCTGGGAGAGGGGTGGTATCCCTGGGGGCCCGGCACCAGCGCGGCCAAGAGTGGCACGACACGCTGGCTGCAGGCCAAACAGAGCAGCGAGGCTAGAAGGGACCCGGGAGAAGACTGAACGCCATCTCCACCAACACCACACCCACTTTATGGAGGAGGAGACTGAGGCCAGTGACAGGGAAGGAAGGTGCTCCATGTCTCCACACCATGTCTCCTGATGTCCCCTCTTCTCTGGCACATGCCCCTGGTCAGGTAGGGCTAGGGGGCTTTGGGCCATGGTCCTTAGGGGCACAGCTTCTCTGCAGTGATGAACCTACCTGAACTAAGGTGTCCAGCACAGGCTCCCTGGCCACCTTGCTGAGCGTCAGCCGCTGGGTGTTAAAAGCACAGATGTGAAAGGTGTCAGCCCCACCAGCCAGGAGGAGGAGCAGAAGCAGTGCATGGCCGTGTATGGGCTTCTGGAACCCTCCAGAGGAATCCAGGTTGCTCCAGGTTCAGGTCCCAGTTGGGCTCAATTCTAGTTCCAGAAGGACATGGTAAAATGCGACAGAGAAAGCGATGCCGTCCTGCTGCTGCCCAGCACCAGCCTCCCAGAGCTGCCAGCATCACACATTTCCTGCCTTTCTTGTGGACACCTTCCCACATCAGCATGTATGGTTCAGTCTTGTTCTTTTTAACTGCGGTCAAATACACGTAGCATCACGTTCACCATCTTAACCATTTTGAAGTTCAGTGGCATGAAGCACCTTCACATTGTTGTGCAGCCATCCCCACCATCCATCCCCAGAACTCTTCCATCTTCCCAAACTGAAACCCTGTCCCCATTTGACACTAGCCCCCACATCCCCTCCCCCAGCCCGTGCCCCGCCCCCATCCTACTTTCTGTCTCTAGGAATCTGCCTGACTCTAAGCAGCTCATACAAGTGGAGTCATACAGTATCTGCCTGTCTGTGACCGTTTGATCTCACTGATCATAATGTGCTCATTTTATCCATGTCAGAATGTCCTTCCTTGTAAATTCTAAATAACATTCCACTGTATGGATGGACCACGTTTTGTTCATCTATTCACCTATCCATGGACGCTGGGTTGCTTCCACTTTTTGGCTACTGTCAATACTGCTACTGTGAACATGAGTGTACAGATATCTCTTCAAGTTCCTGCTTTCAATCCTTTTGGTTAGATACCTAGAAGTGAAATTGCTGGAACATATGGTAATCCTATATTTAACTTTTTTGAGGAACCGCCATACTATTTTCCACAGTGGCTGCCGCATCTTACATTCCCACCAGCAGTTCACAAGGGTTCAACCTTAGAGTTGATTCCAACTTTTCACTGCCATTAGCAACTAGAAGGACCATCTTCGTGCATCTCTGTCTCCTCACTTGGCAGACATTATGCTTAAGACAAACTCCCAGCAGTATAATTGCTGGATTCAAGGGCGTATGCATTTAGAATGATCTCGGACACACCAACTCACCACACTGCAGTGTGTGATGGAGCCCCTCTCCCCATCCCCTCCACTACTGGTGAGCCCTACTTGTTCATCTTACCAGCTGGAGCACCCCTCTTCCTGAGTGTCTTTCGGGCTCAGGCCCTTGCTCAACTCCCTGTTGGTGTTGCCCTCATACAGCGACGTAAGTCCCTCTACTTCTGTCTGCCTGCTTTTCTCTGTTGCCTTGTCACCTTCCCCCTTGGTTTCACTTTCTGCCTGCCGGGGCTCCATGCCTGTTTCTCCCTAGCCACCTGCTCTGTCATTCATGCTAGTTTGGGTCCCCTGCCCTGGTATCTATTCTGGGATGTATGTAGGCCTTTAGGCAGCCCTGGGCTGGCAAGGGCAGGCTTGGAGGCTCTGGGGCCAGGGGCTCCCAGATGGGCGGAGGAAAAGAACTAGAGAGTTCCTGGCCTCAGCCCAAAGTCGGTCCGGGCTCCCAACACCAGCCCTTAGCCCCAGCCCTGGGATTCCCTTCCCCTCTCGCCTTCCCTCACAGGCTGGGGGCAATTTCCTTCTTCCCTCTGGCCAGAGGGCTCCCATACCTGTGCAGAACGGGTCGTCTCCACACCACCTTCCTGTGCTGTGAGCGGATCGCGACTCCCCACGGAATCACAACGTCTGCCTGGGCAGGGACCGTAGACGAAAAAAGAGAAACAGACTCTCAACTCTCCCCACCCGTCAGGGCGGGCTCGGCAGCCCCACCCTTCCCGGTGGGCGGGCCCGGCCCTGGCTCCACCCCGGAGGCCGCCGGGAGGTTGGGCAGCTGGCCTGGCTTGGACCTGGCCGCCCACTTTCCCACCAGACCCCGCCTTCGCCGCCCGGGTGGGACAGGGCGCTAGCGGAGGTAAAGGCGGGGGAGGGTTTGAGCAGATGACCGTGCTGTGAGTCAGAGTTTTTCCTGTGCCCAGGGCGCGTAGCGAGGAGCTGCGGGCGCCCGAGCGCAGACTCTGTTCTGTGCTCTCCCAGGCCCGGCGCTCAGCCCCCGTCCCCGGCCGCCTGCAGGAAGGATACGGTGGGGAAGACTCCAGAGCTGGAGCGCGTGCCTGAAAAAGGGAAGCTCCGCGGCGAGCCTGGGCACCCCCGAGGACAAGGGCCTTATCGCCAAGTCCTCGGGCCGGGCCCGGTGTGGCTGCGCACTCCTGAGCGCTCTGAATACCGAAAGCGAGCGACAGTCGGCGCAGGAACTGGCCATGGTGGTGGAAGCCGAGGGCGGACTAAAAAACTGTACCTGAGAGATTAGAGCGCTGGCAGCTCAGTGCCCCGTGGGGGTCCTGCACTGTCGCTGCTGGGACAAGTGGGGGACTCAGGCGGTGTCTGCGGGCGGCCGATGGGTCCTTACTGAATGGTTGTAGTGCGGTCTTCGGGGCAATGTCCCCGTTGGCAGGACCTACGTGCTAATGGATTGGGGGTGGGGATGAGCCGAAGACTGGGAATTTTTTTTTTTTCCGCGTCTTGCTGGATCTTAGTTCCGGAGCAGGGATTGAACCCAGGCCCTCGGCAGTGAGAGCGCCGAGTCCTAACCACTGGACCGCCAGGGAATTCCCGGGAAAAATATTTTTTAATCAGTAAAATTATACTTTGCTTTAAAAATAAAAAATAGACTGCTTAACGCCTACAGGGCTTTCTTTTTGGGGTGATGAACATGTTTGGACCTAGTTAGAGGTGGTGGTTGACAACACTGTGGGTATACTAAACGATATAAAATACTGTAATATATATAGTATTTCCTATTGTATGTTATATGCTGCTATATATTACATATTGCATCACACGTTACATTATATTACATACATACATTAGTATAGTACAATTCTGTAATATTGTGATTATATAAAGTTGTAGGGCTTCCCTGGTGGCACAGTGGTTAAGAATCGCCTGCCAATGCAGGGGACACGGGTTCGTGCCCCGGTCTGGGAAGATCCCACGTGCCGCGGGGCGGCTAGGCCCGTGAGCCATGGCCGCTGAGCCTGCGCATCCGGAGCCTGTGCTCCGCAGCGGGAGAGGCCACAACAGTGAGAGGCCCGCGTACTGAAAAAAAAAAAAAAAAAAAGTTGTATGTAGCTAATTATGTAAAGTTACATAATGTAACATATACAATACATAACGTTTAACATTACATATGTTACATACATAAAATAATGTAATATAAAATGCTATAAAATACTATAAAATGGTTAATTCCGTGTTATATGAAATTAATGAAAACAAAGGGGGAAAGAAACTAAAGTAAAAGTGCTCCGCCAGCCCCGATCTTTTTTTTAAAATAAATTTATTTATTTATTTTTGGTTGCATTGGGTCTTCATTGCTGTGCGCAGTGCACGGTTTTCTCATTGCAGTAGCTTCTCTTGTTGCGGAGCACGGGCTCTAGGCGCGTGGGCTTCAATAGTTGTAGCACGTGGGCTTAGCTGCTAGCACCGCGGCATGTGGGGTCTTCCCTGACCAGGGCTCAAATCCGTGTCCCCTGCATTGGCAAGCAGACTCTTAACCACTGCACCACCAGGGAAGCCAGCCCCGATTTTGTGTGGTGTCAGGTAATCGTGCTGCGCAGCCCATGTTACTCTCGGAGAGTTCACCGGGGAGGAACTAATGAGACAAAATGGACCTGCAGCCGGTGGGCGGCCTCAAATCCGCGCTGCTCCGGAGCGGGGCGGGGCCACGGGGCCCGCGGGCCCGCCCCCGCTGCCGTCAAGCGGCCCGAGCGCGTTTTGCGACAGACGGCGGTAGAGCCCGGCGCCGTCGCAGGCTCGCTTTCCGGCGGGTGCGGGGGCTTCGCGGCTGCTTCTCCCGTCTGCGCTAGGTTCTCAGTGCGCACCCCATCTCCTGGCTCCAGGGCGGCTAGTGTGTGGCGAGAGATCGGGGATGGGCCCGGTTCTGGCCTGACCTACTAGGTGACCTTGGTCGAGTCCCCTGTCGCGCCGAGCCGCGGCGCCCGTCTGTGGCGCGGGCCTGTTAGGGACCCATCCCCCGAGCGGTTGAGGACACAGACCTAGAGTAGCCCCACAGCCTGCCCCAGGGCAGGGGGAGCGCCGGGCCGCCGGGGGCGGTGGGGGAAGCTCGGTCGGGGCGGGGAGATGCCCCTACATGTGAAATGGCCGTTCCCCGCGGTGCCGCCGCTCACCTGGACCCTGGCCAGCAGCGTCGTCATGGGCTTGGTGGGCACCTACAGCTGCTTCTGGACCAGTGAGTGGACCCAAAGCCGAGGCAGGGTTGGCCACGGGTCTCCACGCCCAACCAGAGTTGGGGTTCGGGGTTGGGGGCGCTGGCAGGGGCTGGCTTGGGCGGGGGGGGAGCTCTGGGCTCCCCGGAAAGAAAGCAAAGATCCCGACCCTCCCGCTCTCCCGCCAGAGTACATGAACCACCTCACCGTGCACAACAAGGAGGTTCTGTACGAGCTCATCGAGAACCGAGGCCCAGCCACACCCCTCATCACGGTGTCCAATCACCAGTCCTGCATGGATGACCCTCACCTCTGGGGTACACGGGCCAGTGTGCTGGGTTTGGGGAAGCAAGGAGGGAACCTGGGACAGGGCCAAACACAAGCAGAACAAACTCACTCCTCACGGGCTGCTTCGCATAGCTCTGGCACTCCTGTTGCTGGGCTGTCCTGCTCCAGGGATGGAAGTTTGATTTGTGGCCCCTTCAGCATCCTCCTAGGGAGTGTAATTTGGAGAGCGCCTCAGGTATTTGGAGGGAATGGACGTAGGGCAAGGTCTGACAGCTTCTTTACTCTGACGTATCAGGCCCAATGTGTCAGACCCTCCATTCTCTAAACTGTTGACGGTTCCAAAGAGCCTTGGGAACAAACCTGAGGACCACAGAGTGTCCTGTCAAGGAAACTCTGGGCTAGGGGCTGGAAGACCTGGGTCCTGTTTCCAGCGTTGCCCCAGGCTGGGTTTGTAGCCTTCCACCAGCCTCGCTGGGGAGCCCGCTTCCCCACCTAGAAGTTCCTGCTCTGCTGACTTCACAGGGAGTGGCTGGGCTCCAGCAACCCAGATGGCTGGGTACAGGGGTGCCCGGGGCTCCCACTGCTGGACTCAGGAGGTTATAGACTAGGAGCTAGAGCTCGTGGGAAGCCATTTGGTCAAATCAGAGCCTTTCATAGCTCACCCTTGCCGCCGGCCAGAGCATGGCCTGCAGGGTGCCACAGGCAGATTCCAGGAGACCAGGAAGGAGGCTCTAGAGCCATCCAGTAACCTGGACCAAGGTGGCGGCAGTGACAGTGGGGAAATGGGTAGAAGAATAGGCAGCATCAGAATGTATCGGGGAGGTAGGCAGACCAGCTGTGGTGACTAATAAGACATACGGGGTGGGAGAGAGGGAGGGGCCCGGGAGAACTTGGGGGTCCAGCCCAAGGGTCGGGAAGATGCCACTTTGGGCCATAGGGAAATGGTAGTACTGCTGTCCATGTCCCTCATTCCCCAAAACAGGATGACAGAAATCGGCGCCCCCTAGGTACAAGGTAAGTTGGGGCATGAAGTCTTTCCTCTCCTTCTCCAGGGATCCTGAAACTCCGCCACATCTGGAACCTGAAGTTGATGCGTTGGTGAGGAGCAGTGGGCCCCTCGTGGTGGGCCGGCAGGCTTCACCCATCTCTGCCCAGGTCTGCCCTCCCCCTACTGTGCCCTGGAGGAGCCTCCAGCAGTCCAGGCAGGGCACGGGGTGGGGCCCCGCAGGCACTCCTGTGCCTCCATTCTGCACTGCCCACGATGTCAGGCCTCACGCTGGGGGCAGGGCAGAGAAGCAGGGTGCAGGGGAGGCCGCGGTGACCACGTCTGTCCCCGCTCCAGGACCCCCGCGGCCGCAGACATCTGCTTCACCAAGGAGCTGCATTCCCACTTCTTCAGCTTGGGCAAGTGCGTGCCCGTGTGCCGAGGTGAGGTGCTTCTGGGGGCTTCTCTGGCCTCCCTTGGGGCCGGGAGACTGGTGGTCCATGCCTCTGGCTTGGCAGTGCTGGGAGTAGAGGGACCCTGGTGGGCCAGGCAGCCAGGGAGCCGGGGGCCACTGCCTCACTCGCGTGAGGCCCAGCTTCATCCTGCGGCAGGAGGGGTGGCAGTGGCTTCTTGGAGCGCACTGCATTCCCTGCGACTGCCTGAGGATCGTGTGCCTCCGGCTCCGATGTTAGACGTGGACGAGGCGTTATCCACGGTTCCTTCTCTTGAGGACGTTGCTGAGAGAGACTCACTGATGGCAGTGTGGTGTCATCAGTGTGTGATGGTGGTGGCGTGTGCCGTAGGGTGAGGGGTGTGATGTTGAGTGATTAATCAGCACCTCTCAAGAGCTTCCGGAGGTAGGGCCCATTTTCATCCCCTTCTCCAGATAAGGGGACTCAGAGGGATAAAGGTGCTGGCCCAGGGTCACAGGGCAAGAGGTGGCAAAGCCAGGATTCAAATCCAGGTTGCTTTTCCCTCTGGGGAAGCAGGATTTTTCCAGGGAGAGTATGAAAGGAAAGGCATCCTAGACACGGGAAGCATGTAGCAGACACTGGAGAGGTACGTGATAAAGGTAGAAAATGTGCATTGCAGGCTGAAAGTGAAGGTTCTGGAACAATCATGTGAAGAATTTGGGCTCTGCTTTCTCATCAGGGTAGTGACAGGGCTTTCGAGTGTGGTTAGAGAGAGAGCCCCCGGCTGCAGTGTGCCTGGAGGGCAGAAGCGGGGTCGAGGATTGTAGCTGGGCCTCTGGGGGTCACCACAGAGAGCAGAGACGAGACGGCTTTGGGATACGCTCTGGAGCCGGAGTGGACAGGACTTGATAGGTTGGGTGTAGGAGGGGGCGAGGAAAAGAAAACGCAAAGATGACACTAGGTGATGTCTGGTAATGATGAGCCACTGGGAGGATGGGACTAGGGGAAGGCAGCATGGTGGTTGAGAGGAGCCTGTCACCTGAGGAGGGAACGGTCCAGAGACAGTGAGATGCGCAGCTCTGGAGCTCGAAAAAACGCTTGGGAATAAAGATACCGGGAACTCAACCGCAAACAAAGTCACAAACATAGAAGTGAGATCGTAGACGGGGAGAGCACGGAGAGAGCAGGGCCCCAGGACAGCACCTCAGCACAGAAGGAGATACGAGCCACCAAGACAGCAGAGAGCAGTGGCCAGAGAGGAAAGAAGCAAAACAGGGCCCCTCGGTACTGTGGAAGCCTCTGGTGACCCTGGAGAAGCCACTTCTCTGGACTGACGGCCACAGGAGCTTCGGGGCAGGGCGTGGGGTAGATGGGGGGTGGGGGTTGGCCACTCCTCCCAGAGGTTGGGTTGTGAAGGGGAAGTAACCAAAGGGCGTTGGAGGTCAGGGAAATCTTATTTCTAGTAGATGGAAGTAAAACATGGTAAAATCCAATAAAGTAACCTCAGATAATAAACAAGGTTCTTTAATGAAAAGCTGCAGCGCCCACCCACCCTCCAGAGCCGCAGACCTAGTTACTCCCCAGAGATAGCCACCTGGAACACTTTCTGTTTTTGGTGCTTTTGGAGGCGGCTTCCTTTCACTGAAACACAAGCAGAGGCTACAGTGTCATGGCAAGTGCACTGCTCTGAGAGACGGCGACTCTGCGCAGGCAGCCCGTCCCTGAGTCTCAGTTCCTCCTCTCTGCAACCTCAGAGGCCTTCCGTGTCCACTTCTAGTCTCATTCTGCTTTTTGACCCGCATCTAAGTTTTATTGCACAATAAAAGCAGCAAGTGAAATCTTAATCCTAAGCACCTTCTGGTGAGAGAAAGTGGGCAGGGACAAGCTGTTTCTCAAACGCATTTGACGTGCAGCAAAGATCTAACAACACGTATTGAAGCAAAGGAAGTATCTGGCATATGTTGCTTCTGTGTTCCAGAAAATTCCCCTTGCCCCCCAAGCATAGGCCTTGTGATAGGACGTGAAGTGTCGGAGTGATCTTGCACAAGCTATACAAGTGCGTAGAAGTAGCATTTGCAAAAGCTAAACATTATGAAGTGTTGCTCCCAAAGCACGGTCTTTGTAAATTTTGATTCCAAGCTGGATGGCTCGGTTGCGCCCCTGCAGCCCACCCCTACCGGCTAATGCGAGCCCAGGTAGGGAAACTGCTGCTCTCAGCTGCGACGCCCTGAGAAACTGCAGTGGGTGACTGCTCCCCAGCTCCAGCCCCTAAGGGAGCTGCCGGGCCGGGTTCCCATTTGGGTTGGGTTGAGGCTCCTGGATCCCTATCTAGCACCTTCCAAAGACTCCGCCTTGCAGAGAACAGGTTGAAAGTCCATTTCTTAGTGCATTGGCCCAAAGAGTCCTGGTGTCAGTCTGTCTGTCTCTCTCCCTCTTTGTGCTGCGGCTCTCTACTCCTTACTTGATAACATAAGGATATTTACCCCGCTTCTTCAACCTCCCCCCTTCTCTGTCTCTGTCCACTCTACGGACAAGGTTGACGAGTGAGGCTCCACTGTGCGTGGGTACAGATTGCCCCCACGTGCCTCCAGGTCAGGAGCCAGCACGCGGCATTGGGCATTCATGTCTGTGTTGTTGCTGACCGCCGGGCCACCTGGGTCCAGTGTCGTGGTCTCAGGGAAACTCTAAGGCAAGTGTTGCTAGCACCGGGGGCGGCTCAACCCTGCTGTTTTCCATGTAGCAGGTTTGAGTTTTCCCCAACTCTCAGTGACACTGTGTTCCGTCAAACATTCTCCCGTTCCCGAGAGGCCTGGCTGAGGGTGAGTCTAGTTTTCAGGGGGAGCCTTTCAAGGAAGGGGCCAGCAGGAGGCAGGGCCAGCAGAGGCTGAGGGCTCAGGAAGGGCTGGGGGGCCTGTGAGGAGTGGCTGCGGGAACTGGCCTGGCAGAGACCCCGGGGACAGGGTCGCTGTCCAGAATCTGGGGCCCAGGTGAGGCTGGAAATCACGCACACACTGGGCCAGAGGCAGCAAATGGCAGGCTCGCCCCAGGGGTGGCTCACCCTAAAGCTTCAGGAGCCCAATCAGGGAGGCAGCCGAGCAGGCCCGAGGGACTGGCCTGGGAAGGTGTCCGTGTGGGCCGCCCGCTGGGGGATGGGGAGCTGCTGCTTCGTGCCCAGGGAGGGCGGAGGGGGGCCCTGGAGGATGGAGACTGAAGGGAGGGACTGTCTCTTGGCAGGAGATGGCGTCTACCAGAAGGGAATGGATTTCATTTTGGAGAAGCTCAACCACGGGGACTGGGTGCACATCTTCCCAGAAGGTCAGTGGGGCTGGCAGGGTCGTGACCCTCTCAAGAACATGGGTGGGACTGCCCCCCCCGCCGCCGCCCGGCAGCCCCCAGCCTCACCTCCATCCTGCCTCTCAACAGGGAAAGTGAACATGAGCTCCGAGTTCCTGCGCTTCAAGTGGGGTGAGAGCCGCTGGCCGCCTCCGGCTGGGTTGGACTGTGGCAGGCGGGGCAGAGGAGCGTGTTGGGAGCGGCGGGAAGGGCAGGTGCCGGCCCAGGGCAGCTGCTTTTGACTGGGGGAAGGCAGGAGTGGCCCCGGCCGCAGGCTGGCACCGCAGCTCCACTCATGCCACCATTTCTGCCTCTCTCTGGGGTAGGAATCGGACGCCTGATCGCCGAATGTCATCTCAATCCTGTCATTCTGCCGCTGTGGCATGTCGGTGAGCCAAGGCTGCGGCCCAGGGAAAGGGGCTTCGCTCGCTCGTATTGGCGGGTGGGTCTCCTCTGGGTGGCAGAGAGGGGGTGCCCGAGCTGCCCTGCTCCACCCCACACCTGCTTCCCAGCCTTCTGTCTGCTGTGCTACAGGAATGAACGACGTCCTTCCTAACAGCCCGCCCTACTTCCCCCGCTTTGGACAGGTGGGTAGGGCTGCTGACCTTGTCCGTCTATCTGTCTGTCTGCCATCTGCCCCATGACTCCCACTCAGCACCACTGAGGCCAGATTCAGGAGGCTGCAGCAGGGGGAATGGAGTGAAGCGGGGTGGGGTGTCTTCCTGGCACCAAGGCCGGGGCCGGGGCAGGGGCAGGCCTTGGGACTGGGACAGGACAGGATGGGATGACTAGGGCATGGACCCCGGGACTGGGATGGCCCTTGGATGTCACTGAGCCCAACCACCTCGTTTTAAAGAGGTTAGAGTGGACCCGAGGGAGTACTCAGCAAGGTGGGGACAGGACTTGGCCTCTGGCTCCCCAGGGTGCTGGGGCTGTGGGCACCCCCCGCTCCTGTCGCCCACAGAAAATCACCGTGCTGATTGGGAAGCCCTTCAGTGCCCTGCCTGTGCTCGAGCGGCTCCGGGCAGAGAACAAGTCAGCTGTGAGTTTCTCCCCCAGGCCATCCCAGAGCTGTCCTAGCCCATCCCAGTGCCCTTGGCCTCCCAGGGACCCTGGGCGAAGCTCCCTGAGGGCTGCAGGCCAGCCCCAGTCCTTCCCCTCAGGTGGAGATTCGCAAAGCCCTGACAGACTTCATCCAGGAGGAATTCCAGCACCTGAAGAGCCAGGCCGAGCAGCTCCACAACCACCTGCAGGCCGGGAGATAGGCGCCACCCTGCCCAGACCCCGCCCAGATCCTGCCCTGGCTTTCCTCTTGGACTGGGGCGGGGACAGGGAGGGGCGGCGAGGCCTGGGACAGAGGCAGCTCTGGGACCCGAGTCCCAGCTGCCGGGAGATCGGTGCTGCCTTGGGTTCTGGCCCTGCACAGAGCTGGGCTGGGAGATGGACTGATGCTTTGAGCTCAGATACGGTTTTTTAGACAGATTTGTTCAGAACCCTTAACGGGTGCCCTCTCCTAGTTGGTGTGCGTTCCAGCTCCTCTGTGGTTCTTCAGCTGAAAGAAGGGTCTCAGCTGCTCCTCCCACTTGGCCACGCAGGGAGGAAGACATTTAGGCAGCGGCCTCCTTCCTTCTTGCCTTCAAGGTGTTCTCTCCCAGGGCCGGGCACTGGAGGGAGGGTAGTTGAAGCGGGGCAGTGGCCAGGCCTGGCTTCTACCCGCCTGCCCTGATCCAGGAGCTGCTCACCACTTCCTCAGGGATGGCCGTCAGCCACGTCTTCCTTCTGCACGTGCTCCCCACAGGCGTGGGCCCCTCGGGCAGGGCCCGCCCTGGGCTGCAGGTAGAAGAAGTGGAGCCCAGCCAAATGGAGCCTGCAGCGAGGGCCCAAGACGCGGCCCCTGCCCTCACGCTGGGGCCTCCCTGGCAGCACCTGAACCCCTGGCGCCTGCGTTTTCATGTTTTATAAACAATAAAGCATCTGTGTTGTGCTCTTTTACATCTGGCCTCCCTGTAGGGGTGGGGGTGGGAGGTGACCCTCTGGACAGGAAGGCTGGGCCTTAGAGCTCTGGGCACATCGAGAGCACTTGACCAGATGGGCTCTCAGTCTGTACCAGTCGCCTAAGGCTTCTGTCATTGTCTATGATCCCCGTACAACCTTGCAAAAGTAGGGATTAATCTCATTCTGTAAAGGACGCAGAGCGAGGTTCATGGACTTGCTTCAAAACCCAAAGATTTGTAATACACGTAACTAACGCAGGGCTCACACCCAGAATAAATAAAGAACTCCTATAAATCAGTAAAAGGATAAACAATCGGATAGAAAAACGGGAAGATTGATGTGAGCAGTCACTTCATAGAAGAGGAAACAATGGCAGAGCTGAAAATACGTGTACTGTATGAGTTTGCTGTAACTGCAGTAACAAAGCACCCTAAACTGGTAGGGTTAAAACAACAAAAGATTTATTCTCTCACAGTGCTGGAGGTCAGAAGTCCAAGGTCAAGGTAACGGCAGGGTTGGCTCCTTGTGGGGGCTCTGAGGAGGGATCTGCCCCTCTCCTAGCTTCCAGTGGTGGCCAGCAATCCTTGGTGTTCCTTGGCTTGAAGACACAAGTTCACTCCAATCTCTGCTTCCAGCTTTGTATGGCCTCTTCTTCTAAGGACACCAGTCGCTGGATTAGGGCTCGCTACTCCACTATGACCTCATCTTAACTAATTATACTCACAAAGATCCTTTTTCCAAATAAAGTCCCATTCTGAGGTTCCAGGTGGACCTGAATTTGGGGGGACACAATTCAGCCCAGTACATACACTCTATGACCTGATATACATACCCTTTGAAATGCACGTATATGTGCACATACGCAAGTGTTGGCAGCACCACTAGCCGCGCTGGCTAAAGTGGGAAACCACTCATGTCTCTCAACACTAGACGGGCTCAATGACTGGCAGAACATCTCCCTAGGGGAATAGCAGTCATGTTACTGTTATGCAATGACTCACATTAACCTCCCAATTTTTTTAAATATTTATTTTGGCTGCGCCAGGTCTTAGTTGCAGCACGCAGGATCTTTGTTGCAGCATGCGGACTTCTTAGTTGTGGCTTGTGGGATCTAGTTTCCCGACCAGGGATCAAACCCGGGCCCCCTGCACTGGGAATGCGGAGTCTTACCTACTGGGCCACCATGGAAGTCCCTAACCTCCCAATTTTGAGCACAGAATCTAGACACAAAATGTAATACTGATTAATTCCATTTATATAAAGTCCGAAAACAGACAAAACAAAATCATCATATTGAGGGATGCCTGCTTATCTCGTGTGATGGCCTGGATGTTTGTGTCCCCCCACCCAATTCACTGAAACCTAATCCCCTAATGGTATTAGTAGGTGGGGCCTGTGGGAGGTGCTTAGGTCATGAGGTCATGGGGGTGAGGTCCTCATGATGGGATTAGTGCCCTTATAAAAGAAGCTCCAGAGAGTTCCCTCACCCCTTCCACCAGTGAGGATACAATGAGAAGTCTGCAACCCGGAAGAGGGCCTTCCCCTACCCTGATGGTACCCTAATTTCTGACTTCCAGCCTCGGGAACTGTGAGCAATAAATTTCTGCTGTTTATAAACGCCACAGTCTGTGGTACTTTGTCATAGCATCCTGGACGGACTGACACAATTGGTAAAATTATAAAAACCAAAGAGATTATCACAACAATCAGGTTTGTGGTCACTTTGGTGGAAGGGAGAAGGAAGTGATGGGAGGGGGATGAGGGGGTTTGGGGAGGTAGACATTTGAGTTCTTGACTTTGGTGATGCCAAGGGAGTGTTTTTGTTTGCTTTGCTAAGTCATTGCGCTGTACACCTGGATTTTGCAACTTTTCTTTTTTGGGCCAGTGTAGGGGTGGGGGGCAAGGAGTGTGTGGGGAAGGCAAGCCTGGGAGGGCTGAGAGGTGGTCTGGGTGAGCAGGCTCAGGGTGTGGACTCCACCTTGCCTGGGGACACACTCGAGATGATGTGGGATGCAGGGGTGAGGCGATGGCGCCCTTCCCGCCCCTTCACCTGTCTCACGCCCAGCACAGCATGGAGTTCAGTGTTTCAGCAGCAACGTTCCAGTGCCTAGTCACTTGCTGTGCGGGTGTTGTAACACTCCCACAGGGACCCTGGTGGTCTCCTGATCCCCGGATCCCAGCTACGGTGGGGTGCCCTGGAACCTGTCTCTTCCAGTGTGTCTCCTGCCTGGAAATGGGCAAGGAGGGGTGCTCCTAAGGGAAGGGGGAGACTGAATCACTGTGAACGACGGTGCCGTCTGCCACGGCCCCTGAGACATCTTGCGTTCTTAGGTCATGAAAAGCCTCCCGGCAAACAGGGACGGTAGGGAGCACCGGCACCTACCAAGGAAAGAGTGAAACCAGGGTCGCGGAAGGCTTACCACCAGACTAGCAAGGATGGCACGATGCTACCCGCGTCCCCCGCGCAGGATGATGCCATTTCGTCAAGCTCAAGGACGAGCAGACTGAGCACTAGACTGTTTAGGGGGACATACTGAAGTGGTCAACCTGTAAGAGAAAAAAAGAGAGAATGATAAACAACAAATTCAGGGTAGCCGTTACTTCTGGGCGTGGGGCAGGAAAAAGGGATTGGGGGAGACAGATGCTTGCCCAGGGCCTGGCAGCACTCTGTGGAGTCTGGGGTGGGTATATTTCACATAAAATAACGCATCATGTGTAACGTGTGTAAGACACAGGCCACAAGTGTCTACGTAACATATGTAATCTACGTAGCACACAGATATTACACATATTTTGGAATGTGTCCAACATTATATTAAAACAATTTAAGCAGACATGGAGTTGATGGGGGCCCAGAAGGGTTTTAATGAAGCACCGGACAGAAGGTGCTCGTGGGCGCTGTCAACAGTTAGCGAGTGACTCAGCTTAGCTGTCACCTTGTGGTCAAAGCAGACTCAGGTGGTGCCCCCCTTTGTGGCTCCCTCCCAGCCCCGTGTCTCCCCCTTTGGAACATCCATCACCCTGGGCTGTGACTCACTATTCTGCATCTCCTCCGGATCAGATTGTGAACTTGAGGGGCAGGGTCCGAGTCTGACTCAGTGCCTGGCCCATAGCAACCGCTTCAGGAAGCCTCGAGGTCACCACTCCAGGGACCTCTGGGAACTGAGGGAAGAAGAAAAGTAGCCACGGGACTTTCTCCCTTAAGGATGGTGAGCAAGAGACTGCTGGCCAGCAAGGTCACACTTTTGAGAAAGTCTTTGCCTTGAAACTTTATTTAAATGGTGCCCTTTGTGTTCCTAAGTCTGCCCATGGCCATTGGCTCCTCGTTTGTTTTTTTTTTAATATTTATTTATTTATTTGGCTGCATCGGGTCTTAGTTGCAGCATGTGGGATCTTTAGTTGCAGCATGCGGGATCTTTAGTAGTGGCCTGTGGGATCGAGTTCCCTGACCGGGGTCGAACCTGGGCCCCCTGCATTGGGAGCGCAGAGCCTTAGCTACTGGACCACCACAGAAGTCCCATTGGCTCCTCTTGTCACCCTGTGTCACTGTTCTGATCCCTGGGGCCTCTGTCCCTTCCCTCGACAGCTTTCACTCCTGTGGCATCATTATAGAACTTTCCTCTCAAAACGTGTCCCTTGCCGGGTCTGTCCTGGGCCTGGAGGACTTTGACTTTACTGTGATGCCCCAATTGGGGGTCCTCATTTTGTTTCCCCCCCAGGTGCTGGGCCGAGAAAGATTTCTAGGACTTTGGTGAGTGACGGAATGACAGACCGAGGGGATGCAACTGACCCCCAGGGCAGCGAGTGACAGCAAGAACAAGGCCAGGGGAGGGCTTGAGCATGAGGAGCTCTGGTTTCCCCACCCCCCGCTGGCTGCCCTGGCTTCGACCTCTCACTTCAGATGCTCCTGGGGCCCTTGCCCCACCATCATGCCACCTGGTCGAACCTCGGTCCTGCACCAACACTGAGGCAGTGACCTCTGCAGTCTCTTTTGCCTTCCCTCTCTGCCCCTCCATTACCCTGGCCAGGCCCCCATCATCTTTCTCCCAGATGATGGCAACAGCCTCCTCCTGGCTTCTGCTGGCACTCCCATCCCTATCATCCGCTCTGCTCCCACAGCCAGATCCGCCTTTTCAAATACAAATCAGATCGTGGCACTAGAACTTCCAACCTCTCCCAGGGTTTTGGGGGCACAGAAGGCTCCAGCACAAACCTCTCCCCTCAGCTGGCCCGGACATGGCCAGTTGGGGGCCCCACAAACAACCCAGACTTAACTGTCCCCAACTGATCTCATCTCCCAGTCCCCAACTCAGAGACATCCAAGAGCCACCTTCAGCCACTGTCCTCCCTGACCATGCCAAGCCCACCTCCTGTCTTCAGCTCAACTGCCACTGTCTTAGTCAGAGCCACATGTGTGACAACCATGACTACAATCTCATAAGCAGTTTCTCAGACAAGTGCAGGTGACCGATGGTCTGTCAGCTCCATGGGGCTGGGTGGGAGTCATTGTGTACACGGTGCAGCGGCTCCCAGCATCGTCCCCCTTCTCGTGTGCACGCAGATTGAATCCTGCCAGGGAGATGGTGTTTGAGGGGCAGGGGCGGCAGCAGCAGTGGCGGGGCACAGTGTCCCAGTGTCTAGTCACAAGTGCCCACATCTTTGCAACTACAAACGGCGCTGCAGTGGATCTCTTTGTATGTGCATCTTGTGCTTGGCTGAGTACTTCTGTTGAATGGATCCTAAGAGGGAAACTGCTTGGTTAAAGGTCAGACACGTTTTAGTTTGTTAGACGCTGCCAAATTAGCCTCCCAAAAAGTTCTACCAATCGATATTCTCACCACTGTGTAGGTGAGACTCTATTTCCTGACATCCTTGCCAGCAATGGGCCTGATCAAACTTTCCTCTCTCTCTCTCTCTATATATATATATTTAAATAAATTTATTTATTTATTTATCTTTGGCTGCGTTGGGTCTTTGTTGCTACGCGTGGGCTTTCTCTAGTTGTGGCGAGCGGGGGCTACTCTTCGTTGTGGTGCGTGGGCTTCTCATTGCAGTGGCTTCTCTTGTTGCGGAGCACGGGCTCTAGGTGTGTGGGCTTCAGTAACTGTAGCACGTGGGCTCGGTAGTTGTGGCTTGTGGGCTCTAGAGCGCAGGCTCAGTAGTTGTGGCGCACGGGCTTAGTTGTTCGGCAGCATGTAGGATCTTCCCGGACCAGGCACGAACCCATGTCCCCTACATTGGCAGACAGATTCTTAACCACTGCACCACCAGGGAAGTCCTTCCCTATATGTTTTATTATGAAAAATATCAAACATATAGCATGTTAGTTTCCCAGGGCTGCCATAACAGATTACCACAAACTGGTAGGCTTAAACCAACGGAAATTTATTCTCTCCCAGTTCTGGAAGCTAGAAGTCCAAAGTCAACAGGGCTGTGCTCCCTCTGAAAGCTCTAGGGAAGAATCTTTCCTTGCCTCTTCCAGCTTCTGGTGGCTCCAGGAGTTCCTCAGTTGGCAGCTGCAAAACTCTGTCTCCATCATCAATTGGCCTTCTTCCCTGTGTGTCTGTGTCTAAATTTCTCTCTTCTTACAAGGACACTAGGCACTGGATTTGGGGCCCACCCTAATCCAGCATGACCTTATTTTGATCACATCTGCAAAGATCCTGTTTCCAAATAAAGTGACATTTACAAGTTCTGGATACACATGACTTTTAGGGGGATACTCTTCAACCCAGTACATGTACCAAGGTCAAAAAAAGCTTACAGTGAACACCCATATACTCACCCGCTAGATTTCAATGGTCACTAATATGAGAAATGAAAAATGGCACAGAAAGGGACTTCCCTGGTGGTGCAGTGGGTAAGAATCCATGCTCCCAATGCAGGGGGCCGGGGTTCGATCCCTGGTCAGGGAACTAGATTCCACATGCTATGCCTCAACTGAGAGTTCACATGCCGCAGCTAAGGAGCGCGCCTGCTGCAGCTAAGGAGCACGCCTGCCGCAGCTAAGGAGCGCGCCTGCCGCAGCTAAGGAGCGCGCCTGCTGCAGCTAAGGAGCGCGCCTGCTGCAGCTAAGGCGCCCACATGCCACAAGCAAGGAGCGCGCCTGCTGCAGCTAAGGAGCCCACATGCCACAAGCAAGGAGCGCGCCTGCTGCAGCTAAGGAGCCCACATGCCACAAGCAAGGAGCGCGCCTGCTGCAGCTAAGGCGCCCACATGCCACAAGCAAGGAGCGCGCCTGCCGCAGCTAAGGAGCCCACATGCCACAAGCAAGGAGCGCGCCTGCCGCAGCTAAGGAGCCCACATGCCACAAGCAAGGAGCTGGCGCAACTAAATATGTATTTTTGTAATGGCACAGAAAAAGATGAAAGTCTCCCAATTTATTTGAGGTGGTGTCTCTCATCTTCTGACTCTAGCTGTCACTCTGTCTCTTTCCTCTCTTTAAGGCAAACTTCGAGAAAGGACAATCTATACCGTGTCTCCACTTCCTCACACTGACATCGCTCTCAGCAAACTGGTGTTGCTAAGTACAAGAAAGTTTTCTGTCCTCATCCTACCTGCTTCCTGGCAGCAGTCGAGAATGACGTTGTTAACCATGGTGTGCTTGAAACTTCCCTGGGTTTCCCCCTCCTCTTTGATGCTCCTTCTCCGATCTCTCTTCTGGATCCTCCTCCCTGCCCGTAGTAAGTGCTGGCGTTCCTCTGGACCCTATCCTGGGCGTCCTCTTCTCTCCCTACCTGTATAAAGGAGGGTCCATCTGCAGGAAAAAGAAACCACTCTTGCTACTTTAAGCACTAAGAAGATTAAAACAGGGAAGGGGGAAGCTGTGCGTGTGGGAACCAGCGGAGTCCGCTCCGCCCCGCTCCTTCTGCAGGGTTGGAACCCGCGGCGTCCGCAGAGGGGCAGGAGGCTGTGGGAGCCGGCGGAGCTCGGTTCCGCCCCCTTTCCTACTTGGAGCTTGCGCGCCTGGAGACACGTACAGCCAACCAGTGAAAAGGAGCGGCTGTGAGTGGCATCCACTTCGTCCAATAACCTGAGGGTCTGGAAAGCGGTCTTGCGCCCGGGCCAATGGCGGCTCGAGGCGGAGCTCGGGCGGGGGCGACGGTCACCTGATCTGCGGCGGCCGCGGTGGGTCCAGGCAGTGGAGGCCGAGAGGTTTTGATGGCGGCGACGGCGGTGGATCGAGTGCGGGCGGGGATGCGGCGGTCCCTGGCGCTCTGGCAGATGCCATGGCTGCCGCTGGTGATGGTGGCGGCAGCGGCGGTGGCGGTGGCGTCGGAGCAGCAGGTGCCGCTGGTGCTGTGGTCGAGTGACCGGTGAGCGGGGCGGGCCGGGGCGGGCTGCGCTGCGCGCCGCGTCGGCTGAGGTGCCCTCGCCCGACTCCGGGGCTGTCCTTGGCGAGGGGCGGCGGGGCCCAGAGGGGGACTGTCCCTTGCTCGGCGGCTCCATAGCGAGTGGGCTGGGTCTAAGCTCTGGGCCCCACGCATCAAGCTGGGAGCCCGTGGGTTTCCGATCTCAAGCCATGAGCCTCCGCTTGACAGCACGTCTTCTGTCCCCTGCCAGAGACCTCTGGGCTCCTGCGGCCGACACCCACGAGGGCCATATCACCAGCGACATGCAGCTCTCTACCTACTTAGACCCCGCCCTGGAGCTGGGCCCCCGCAACGTGCTGCTTTTCCTTCAGGACAAGGTGCGCCTGCCACAGCCCTCTCTCCCTCGGTCATCAGGAGGCAGGCAGGCCCCCTCCCCCCCCCCGCCCCAGGACACTGAGGCCCATTCCTCAAGGGAAGCTTCAGGGACCTTGTCCCAACTCTAGGGAGGTGTGGTTCCTCCCTTGGGAAGGCATGTAGGAGAACGTTCAGTGGGAATGGTGAGGGCCTTGAAATGGCACCCGCTTGATTGGGGGAAATAAAGGGTCAGAGGCCAGATGCCCAGTGAGTGCCAGACCCTTATCTGATCTACTCTACATGGTGGGGATGATGAATCCTGTTTACAGATCAGAAGAGTGATGCCCAAGGATGGCAAATGACTTGCCCAAGGTCACACAGCTAATGGGTGGCAGAGTCGTGATTCTAACTGTAATCATCGTAAGAGAGAGAATCGAAGAATGATCACTTACTGAGTGCTTCATTCGCACTATGCTGAGCTGATGTCATTATCTCGGTTTTACTGCCAAAGAAGGATTGGCTGAAGTTGTGTGGCTTGTGCAAGCCACAGCTGGTTCCAGCCTGAGTCCGTTGGACACCCCTCCACCCCAGGTTTGTGCTCATATCCAGCACACTGTTTACCCTCCCATCTGGGTCTTTCTGCTCCTAAAGCAGGCACGTAGACCACAAGAAGGTTCTAGGGCAGTGTAGGACTGTCGTTTGGGAGGTTATCGAGCTTCTGCTTGTCCGTTCCTCATTGATGGCCTGTATGGCTCATTCCCCTTTTGGTCTTGCTCTGTCGTTCTGTGGGCAGGTGGTGGTGGCTGTGCTGGCCTGTAGTCTTTCCAGGAGGTGGTAAATAATGTAGTCAGACTGGAACTCAGTTCTAGTTCTACTACTTACTGGCCTTTGGACATGTGAAATACTCTGCGAGTGCCCCTTTCCGCATCTGTAAAATGAAGACACCACTGACATCAGAGGGCTGTGAAGAACATTTCTCACAGTCCGTGTGAAACATGTAGCTGGCATCCCCACCCTGTCTTATGGCATTCCTTCAATTCATTCATTTGTCAAATATGGACTCTGCCTACTGTGTACCAGGTACTAGGTGTTGGGGACACAGCAGTGAGCAGAATAACCCAAGCCCCCCCGGAGATGCTGACATTGTCGTGAGGGTGACAGGTAAATGCTAAGTTGGTGTATGATACAATGTCAGTTCTGTAGTCCTTAGAGAAGAAGGAAGCAGACTAAGGGGACAGAGTGACTGGCAATGCCGTTTAAGGTAAGGGTGACCAGGCAAGCGCTCGCTGTGGAGGTGGTATCTGAGCAGAGACCTAAGTGGAGGGAGGGATGGAGCCGTGTGGCTGTAGGGGAAGGGCATTCCTGACAGAGGTAACAGCAGGTGCAAAGGCCCTGGGCAAGGAGCGCTCCTGGTGAGCCCGTGGAAGAGCTGGTGTGGCTGGAGTATAGTGAGCGAGAGAAAGGGGTAGGAGATGGTCAGCCAAGGAACTGGGAGACAAGGGGGGAAGACGTTGGTTGCAGTTCTAAATGTGGCAGGAAGCCTTGGGTGATTTCGAGCAGGGAGTGCCATGAGGACACAGCGGTGGTTCCTGGGCTTTCAGAATGAGAGCTTAGGTGGCCAGACAGGGTCAACATTCCTGCCCAGAAGGGAGAGGAGGCCGGGCAAGTATGTATACTAAACAGGAGGAGGTTAGGGAAGCTGATTAAGATCTCCTCTGGGCCTAACCAGGAAAAGCCAGAGGAAGCTGGGAGTTGGGATGGAGGGGCAGAAGCTGAAGGACATCTCTAGGTTGCAGAGGAAAAGGGATGGGGTTGGGGCTACCGTGGCCCAGAGAGCTCAGAAGCCTTCAGTGCTTTCTCCAGCATGTTCTGAGATCCTCACCTCTCTCTCCCCTTCCACCAAAACCAGGCAGGGAGGGGCACTTCTCCCCCTCCTCTGCAAAGGGTCCCATCCAGACCGGACGGACGCGGCTCTACCTGTCGCAGCTGGCGCGCAGGCTCTCCTTGTCTCTGACTTCTGCCCTGGGGGGCGTGCAACCAGTGCTCCTGGCTGCCCCCCAGCTCCTCCCCACAGCTTCCCTCTTCCCTCCGCAGCTCCTCCCGTCTGCTCGCGGCGGGTGGCTGACTCTTACTCCCGAGGTTACCATGAATCAGCTGCCCACAGACTTCCTTCCAACCCCATGACCACCTTCCTTGTTCCCTCACCCTGCCAAGAGGGTGCTGGAGAAGACAGAACCTTCCACCGCCCCACCCCACCCCTAAAATACACCGTTGCTCACTCTTCGGACCAGATCAAATTTGACTCTAAATGAGATTCTGCTGGCCCTGCAAACGCACAGGGAAGGTGTCTGCCCCCTGCCCTGGCCCTAGTCCAGCGTTCTGAGGCCATCTCCCTGCTTCCCTACTAGCTGAGCATCGAGGACTTCACAGCGTATGGTGGCGTGTTTGGAAACAAGCAGGACAGTGCCTTCTCTAACCTGGAGGTAAGGGTCCTCTCCCAGCTGCAGGCCCTGGAGGCCATCCTGCGCCCCCTCTCCCAGCACAGTAAGAACTGTCCCCTCAGGAGCCAGAGATGCTGGCTGAAGGTAGAAAGGCCTTAGTGTCAGGGCCAGGGGTGTGGTGTGTTTTCTTTGTTACCTGGAATGAGAGCCGGTGTGGGTGTGGGCGTGGCTTTCCAGAGAGGTCTGGGAGGCTGGCCCGGGTCCACTGGCCCCTTGCTAACTCATCCTCTCGCCTGCCGCTCTGTCCCCAGAATGCCCTGGACCTGGCCCCCTCCTCTCTGGTGCTTCCTGCCGTTGACTGGTACGCGGTCAGCACTCTGACCACTTACCTGCAGGAGAAGCTCGGGGCCAGCCCCCTGCACGTGGACTTGGCCACCCTCCGGGAGCTGAAGCTCAACGCCAGCCTCCCGGCCCTGCTGCTCATCCGCCTGCCCTACACAGCCAGGTACGGCCCGGCCTCTAGCCTCAGGGCCCAGGCCCCGGTGGCGCAGCTCAGCCGAGGAGAACAGCCCTCCCGTTAGCACCTTGAGGCCCTCCCAGAAGGTGCCTGTGTGGCCAGAAGAGGCGGGAAGGACCTCAGCCCGTCGGGCCTCCTGAGACAAGGCAGACGTGGGCCTTGCTGGCGGGGAGCTGGCCCGCCTAGCGGGGACCATACACGGAGCAGGTGGCAGGGACTTGAGCTGGACTCCGGAGCTGGGGGAGGAGGGCCGGGGGATTCCAGGCGGGGCTGTGAGGTGAGCAAAGGTACCGGTGGCGGGAGTGGGCCCGCAGCTCGAGTGTGCTAGGTGGCGGGGCTACCAGGCAAGGACGGCGGCCCAGGGCAGCGGAGGCCGTTTGGATTTGGGCGTCTCTAACGTTCTGTCTCTTCCCCAGCTCGGGTCTGATGGCACCGAAGGAAGTGCTCACAGGCAACGGTGAGTGGGGTCGGGGCGGTGCACGGTTTCTGTCCTCATCCCACCCTTGGCCGCAAGGAGCTGGCCCGCGCTGCTCAGCCCCTCTGCCTTCCCAGGGTGGCCCGCCTGCATCTTGGCAGCAACTGGCCAGCTGAGCAGGGCCCCGCCGGTCCCCAGGCCTCGGCCGTCTCTGGCTGGGCCCAGCCTGGCAGAGCTGTTGGGTGTCCAGGGGCCTTCCGTGTGCAGCCTGGAGCCAGTTTCCACTCAGGCGGCCTGAATCCTCGGGTTTGGGCTTGAATATACCAGCAACGTTTCAAAAAACAGTTCCAAGGACTGGTCTTCCTTTGGCTGTAAAGGACAGTCATTCCTCCTGGCAAGGTCACTGGACACTTTCCGGGTGTAGAGTTGGAGTTTTCTGTGTCTGTCTGTCTTTCCTCCCTCCACTGAGTTAGGATGTGGCATTAGGGATTCAGTGACTGGGGCCACGGTGGCCGGGGGGAGGCTGGGGCTGGGGGGATGATGAGAAGCGGCTGCTGGAAACAGCGAACACCAGTGAAGGTTGCTGGGACCCGGCTCTGCGAGGGTCTCGGCGTCCCACCAGAGGACGTGCCGGTTGCCGGCGACGGGGACCGCACAGGGCAGACATCCGGCGCTCCCCAGCTCAACACGGCGATCCCGCTGAGCACCGTCAAGAGAAGCATCCGAGAGGGTGCATGGAAGGCCCCAGCCTCGCCCCTGCCGTGTGACAGTCGGGCGGGTTCTCACGGGCAGTGGCAAGCGTGGCCGCGAGCGGCCGCCTGTGACTTGCTTCTCTGCCCGCCCCCCCCCCCCCCCCCCCCCCCCCCCCCCCCG